GCAATTACCCCCCTTCCCCCTCTCTGTCTGCCCCTCCTCAGTAAGAGTTACCTCTCACTCCTTCCTGGTCTCCATTACGTGCTTCGTGCCTGACGAATCATCTCTGAAAGGGGGAGGGAAAGGAAAGCAAGTCGATTTTTCTTTTTTTTTTAAAACAAAAAGACATTTATTTTGGGGGTGGGGGGGAACGGTCTCGTTTATGTTTTTTCTTTCAAATTTTATTTTTGTTATTTAAACAAAAAAAAACCCACCCTTGGCCCGAAATATAATTTTTTTTAAAATTCCGTCGTCGGAAATGGTGAGAAAATGTCGGGCTCTGCGTTGAAACAAGAGCTCAAACTCCTAGAGTCGATCTTCCACCAGAGACACGAGAGGTTCCGCATCGTGTCCGGATCCCTGGACGAGATCAGCTGCCAGTTTATCACCCAGGAGCAGATCCTGCTCATTCACTGTAACATCACGGTGAGTAACTGAGTGCCAGGGGCCTTCCCAGAGCCTACAACACAGACTGGGGGGAGAAGAAGAGAGCCCCCAACTTCCCGGAGGCAAAGGTGGGGGTGGGGGGGGGGGGGGGGTTCTGATCTGGTTTGGTCTGGTCTGGGGATGACTGTGGGGAGAAAGGGGGGAGCCCTGGCCTGGCTTCGGGGATGGGAAGAGAAAGGAAGCTTTAGCCACCAACACTACTAACCACTACCCCCTTCCCCTTCTCACCCAAAAACAGCTGGTGTGAAAAACCAGGCAGAGCCTGGGAGCTTTTAACACACTCGCTGTAAGTAACCGAGCTGGTGGAAGGTGTTACGTTGTAGTCGGAGGGGGAAAAAAAAGGCCAACCGGCTGAAATGGCAACATTTCCCCCCCCCCGCTACAATGTAACATTGTGTGGGGGTGTCAAAATTGCAACAGTGTGTCTGAGGGGGTAAAAGGAAACATTGTTGCATTTCTTTCACCCCCAAAAGTTACATTGTAGCCAACAGGGGTTCCCCCCCAACCCCCAGAAGTGATTGATAATATGGTACACTACCACCGTAGAAAGACACTACTATTACTCCAACAGAAGCTAAACTCTTAACTATGACCCCCAGTATCTCCAGATTTCCCACAACGCCACCACCCTCCTGATTTGTTTTCATGGAAATTGAACCCAAATTCAGGCTCCCATACCTCTCTAACAGCTCAAGAGTCTTCAAGTCAGATTGCTGAAGCAGTGTTTCCTTTTTCGATCTTCGTTTTGGAAAGGGACATTGAACTTAGCCCCCTCCAAAACAAAAATGCGCTGCCCACACACCCAAGGCAGATGGGGGAAGAGGCATTTTGCGAAAAGCCAGCATTTCAGTGTTTTAAAGCAAGCTGTTTTTCTTATGAGGATCAAAGGAAAACACAAGAGGCCAGGCCTCAAAGTTTCTGTGCAGAATTTGGAGCAGGAGGGGGTGGGTGGTGGGATGAGTTGGGTGTGAGAACTGGTGAGGGCTGAAGTGCTGTGGCTGTTCATATCGTGGACATAACTGTGAAAAATGTGTGCAAATGATTCTAAGAGACCTTTTTAAAAAGAAAGTAATTAAAAGCATTCAGCCAGGATGAGGCCTTAGAGTTTGTATAGGCCCAGTTCCTGGTTGTTGCTTTTTTTCCTTTAAAGTAAAAGGCCATATTAAGAGATTTCTGTGCTCGTCACTGTTGATCTGAGCACTGAGGCAAGGCCTGCGTTTAGGCCTAGGATGATATGTTGTTAGAATAATTGGGAATATTATTAATTAGACTCGATTAAGCAGCCACTCTGGTACTGAGCTGAATAGGCCG